GGGGGGTGGGCGGGGCCAGAACGGGAAGCCAAGCAGGTGAAGGTAGCCCCCAGCGGGGCCATGGAGAGCCAGGAAGTTAGGGTCCCCAAGTCACATTCCATTCTAGGACCCCTGTCTGGCTTTCTCTCACCTTCTTCATCTCTCCGTGCCTCAGTTTCCCCTCACCAAGTGAAATGGAGAGGTCAGGGCTTCTGAGAGCCCAGCAAATAGTTCTGCTGAGAAAGCTTGGGTAATTAAACTTCAATTCACTATGCTAATGTTCCATGATGACCACATGGTTCTGCCTCAGCAGCGGTTTGGGGAGTGCCCACTAATTTGGCCAGTTTTGTGAGCAGCTCTGCCAGCATTTCATTAAAGCCTGAGGAGGGAGGGAGCAGGGCCCACCAGGGACCAGCGCTCCTTTCTTTGGAGACAGTGGACTGACCCTAGCAAGGGGGATAGTGGTGAAAATACCGGAAAGACCTCTCCAAACACATGGTGAGGAATCCTGGAGATCTCCTTAGAGGGAGAGAGGGATTTGGGTGGCAGGCAGGGAGGGCAGGAGTTACGTGCACTCCTCGTGTCAGATAGACGAGGGGGCTATCTCGGTTGGAAGCACTGTCTGTGACTAAATGTGAGAGTCTTAGTTGACCACTAGCTCAGAGCCAGGGCTGGGGGAGGGAGGAACGGCATCAGTACATAAAGAGTCCTGCTCAAAGGGGCAAGGCTGTCCTGGGCCTGGGTGGTAATTGACCGTGTCTAGTGCAGAGAGCTAGAGAGTTTATTAAACACAGATTCCTGGCCTCACCCTCCAGACTCTGATGTGGTTAGTCCCAAGGGAGGCTTACGAATCTGCCTTTCTAACAAGCTGCTGGTTCATGGTCCACACTTTTAAGAAGCACTCACATGGGCAACAGTGTGAACGCCTCTCTCTCTGCCTTCAGCGCATGCAGTTCGCAGTCTGCACAGCTCTCCCCAGCTGCCTCTGGGCTCTAAGGGCAGAGAATCTCAGGGGTCCTTTGGAAGTTCCCCTAGCGTCTTCCTGTGCAGAAAGGCTGTGGCGTGCTCTCTCAGGCATATACTGTGGCTCCTGGTTCACTCTGGCTCTGAGCAGGCACAGACCCACTCAATATGTCATACCCTACAAGACACCTGCACCCCACAACCCGCCCCTGGACTGTCCTGCTTCTGGATCCCAACAAGGGCAGACATTTTTAGCTGGGCTCAAACTCCTCCCAACATGCTCTCTCTGACCTCCCCGCAAGTTCTGTCCCTGGCACAACAAGAATTCCAACCCCCTGCCCTCCTCCGAAGAAACAAATCCTGAACATTGGTGTGAGGCCCATGTCTCCCATGGTCTCCACTTCCACCGCCACCAGGGACCAGCCACCTCCAACCCTAAAGCCAGGGGTGCTGCCCTAAAGCCTGCCTCTGTCCTGGCTCAAATTACTTTCCCAGTGGCGATGGGTCTTGGACTTCTGGGTTTACAGACATGCTTAAGAGCTGCTGAAAACTCAGAACCATCTCCCTAGAAAAACACATGCACAGAACTGCACCTGTAGTTTGAGGGCTCACAGACCTGCAGAGTCCATGCAAGGGCCTAGATTAAGGCACGGCCCTGGGAGAGTGGTCATCTGATTCTGGTTCCAGGCAGTCCCACTTGGGAGGTAGGGATTAGGATAATCTCATTGCTTGCTGTTCTTAGAAAGAGGACTCTGTTGTAGCCACCTTCTAGATTTATTTATGCAATGCAATTTTTTTTGTATTTATTCATATTTCCTGCTAAGGATAAGAAGATATTTCATCATAAATCTGACTGGGCAGATTATTAGAGGGCTCCCCGGTCTATCAGGTGGCTGGAATTGTTGCTCTGTCCTCATGCATAGTGGAAGAATGACAGTCACAGTCCTGTGGTGATTTAGAGAGGTGGTAGGTGCTAGAGACTGGAGATGGGTCACAGCCCTGGGGATGGGGTGTTCAGCCCATTCCAGAATGCCACTGAGCATGTGGGTCCAGATGCCTGTGGAACCCAGAGCTGGAACCTGCTGGATGTGGAGCTGCCCCTAAGCCGTACCCAGGATCCTGGGGTGACCCTGGCACCCCTCAAGCCCTGGACACAGTATGCAGTGTTTGTTCGGGCCATCACACTGACCACTGCTGAGGACAGTCCCCACCAAGGGGCCCAGAGCCCCATCATCTACCTCTGGACCCTGCCTGCAGGTAGGCATTTGGACAGGACCAGAGATGCCGACCTCCTAATGAGAATGGGGGATCCAGGCATCAGAAACAGAATCGGGAACACTGCACACCCGGCCACAGAGATCTGGCTGGGAGATCAGAGGCCTTTCTCCAGGGAAGACTGGCGGGGGGAGGGGGGGCATTTGTCTAGGTCCTAGGGAAGCTGAGGTTGGACCATTTCGGTGAACAGCCGAGTGAACTCAAGGGCCTTGGAAAAGGACAGAATGCTGATTTCTAGGAAGGGAGACCGAAGGTCACCTATTCCTGGGGAGAAAGACAGGTGTCCCCGAGGGAGGGGCTCATTACCAGACATACAGTGTTCAGAAGGGGGACCCGTGGCCCGATTTGTACCCTCCTCACATGCCCAGCGCCTACCGTGCCCCAAGACGTCATCTCCACCTCCAACTCCTCCTCCCACCTCCTGGTGCGCTGGAAGCCACCCACCCAGCGCAACGGAAACATCACTTACTACCTGGTGCTTTGGCAGCGACTGGCAGAGGACGGCGACCTCTACCTCAACGACTACTGCCACCGCGGTGCGCAGGGAGGCGCGCGGTCCGAAGCAGGGAGGAGTGGGGAAGGCGGGCCGCCAGGGCTCTGAACGACCTCCTCTCCCGGCCAGGCTTGCGGCTGCCCACCAGCAACCACGATCCCCGCTTCGACCGCGAAGACGGGGACCTGGAGGCCGAGCTCGAGCCAGGCTGCTGTCCCTGCCAGCACGCCCCTCCTGGGCAGGTCCTGCCCGCGCTGGAGGCGCAAGAGGCCTCGTTCCAGAAAAAGTTTGAAAATTTTCTGCACAACGCCATCACCATCCCCAAGTGCGGCCGGGCGCGTGAGCGGGACGGGTCCAACGGGCGGGTCCCGCGAGGGGCGGGTCTCTACGGGCGGGGCCTGTGAAGGGCGGGTCTGCTCTGGACAGGTCCTGCTGGAGAGACCCGCGAGGGAGCGGGGCTGTGCGGGTGGGGCCTCGCTTCCGTGGGTGCGGCCAGGGCTGTGGGCGGGTTTGGAGGTGGGGCTTGGCCGGAGAGACCCCTGGGCGCGTTCCAGTTGGGACTGATAGGGCCTCCCTGGCCTCCCCAGACCCCCTTGGAAGGTGACGTCCATCCACAGGAACCTCCAGAGGTGAGCTGGGTGAGGTCTGGACACCGGGAAATGGGCTCCGTTGACCGACCAAGACTCTGACTTGCGGCTTCCCCAGGGACGAAGGGCGGCACCGCCGGGCTGCTGGAACCCCCAGACCAGAGGGCAACAGCTCGGATTTTGAGATCCAGGAGGACAAGGTCCCCCGAGAACGAGCGGTGCTGGGCGGCTTGCGCCACTTCACGGAATACCGGATCGACATCCACGCTTGCAACCACGCGGCGCACACCGTAGGCTGCAGCGCGGCCACCTTCGTCTTCGCGCGCACTATGCCCCACAGTAGGTGGCCCCCACACTTTCTGCGCCGCCACTGATCCCAAGGACCCTCTCCAGTCAGTGCCCTAACTAGCGGGTCTGACCTCATTCCAGAAAGAGTTTGAAAACTTTCTGCACCACGCCATCATCATCCCTGAATTTGGGTGCGCGTGCCCTCGGAACGGGCTCAGTGGGCGTGGCCTGTGAGAGACGGGTCTATGGGTGAGGCTGGGGCGTGGCCTGCGAGACCCAGACGCAGACCTTCCTCTGCCGCCCCGCACATTCCTTTAATCCCAGAGTTTGGGTTTGAACAGGCGCGCTAGAGAGGAAACGCTTGTGGCCTGCTTCCCAGATCGCCCCCTCCTGCAGGAGAGGCCGACGATATTCCAGGCAAGCTGGCCTGGGAGGCGGCCAGCAAGAGCAGCATCCTCTTGCGTTGGCTTGAGCCACCTGACCCCAATGGACTCATCCTCAAGTATGAAATCAAGTACCGCCGCTTGGGAGAGGTAGGCACACTGGGGCAGCCCCATCCCAGCTCCGTTTTGTCCTCCACCTCCTTCCCAGCCAGATCTTCTGTGCTACCCTCAGGAGGCCACGGTGCTGTGTGTGTCCCGTCTGAGATATGCCAAAGTTGGTGGGGTCCAGTTGGCCCTGCTGCCCCCTGGAAACTACTCTGCTAGGGTTCGGGCCACCTCACTGGCTGGTAATGGCTCCTGGACAGACAGTGTCGCCTTCTACATCCCTGGCCCAGGTACGCAGGTTTGCATCCCCAAACAGCCCACCAGAGACCCCCTGCACCCCTTCCCTCCCATCCCCATCTCCCAGTGCTTAGAAAGAAGCAGCTCCTATCATGTCAGCCTTTGGCCCTATCTTCTGTCCCCTCTGACCACCAGAGGAAGAGGACTCCGGGGGCCTGCATGTCCTCCTCACTGTCACCCCCGTGGGGCTCATGCTGCTCATCATTCTTGCTGCCCTCGGATTCTTCTACAGCAGAAAGAGGTGATGGCAAGCCCTGGTTCCCACTTGCTCCCGCCCGGGGCCTTGGTCTGTCAGTGCACTCAGGGTGGTATAGATCACGCAGCAGAAGGAACCTCCTTAGAGTCAGTGGCTCTTCCCTTAGCACAGAGGAGACACACCTCTCCACTAGGGTGACCACTCACCCTGCTTAGTTTGAGATGGCCTCATTCCAGAAAAAGTTTGAAAACTTTCTGCGCAACGCCACCACCATCCTTGAATTCAGGTGTGTGTGTGCTTGCTTTTGGCAAGACAAGTCCTGTATCCCCAAGAAACCCCTCAGTCTGGGCACACTGGGACTGTCAGTTGCCACACTCTGCCCAAGCTGAAAAAAACAAAGCATGTCCTGCTATCCCAGGGATGAAGCAAGAGACCTCAGGATGTGTCCCAGGACACTTGATATTAGATTCCTCTGGGGCTAAGTGCAAGAGGGAAGTGGGGGCAGCACCCTGATTAGCTAGATCCTGAAGACAACCTAAGGGGACAGGAGACCTTCTGCTTCTGTGTCTACCTGTTCCCTGCCTGTTACATCCCAGGAAGGGACCATAACCAACTTGGAAAGTATTAGCGGCCCTAGGGAGTGGTCAATAACCCCTGTCTCAAGATATCCTTCTTCCTTGTCCTCTGGCATTGCTCATTCCTTTTTGAAGACCCTTTCAGCCTGACCCCTTACCCCTGTTGCAGAAATGGCACCCTGTATACCTCTGTGAATCCGGAGTATCTCAGCGCTTCTGACAGTAGGTCTGGGGATGGGTGGACAGGGGATGTGGGAAAGGAGACTAGAGAGAAGGAAGGGACAACTTCCAGGAGACCTTTCTGAAGAGGTGGCCTTAGGACCAGAGTGCTTTAGAAGCAGAGGCCAGGAGTGGGTGGAGGCGTGGCAGAGAGAGCAGCTCCTGGCCTTGTGACCTCCACTTCCTCCCAGTGTACGTCCCTGATGAGTGGGAGGTGCCCCGGGAGCAGATCTCCATAATCCGGGAGCTGGGCCAGGGCTCTTTCGGGATGGTCTATGAGGGTGTGGTGAAAGGACTCGAGGCTGGAGAGGAATCCACGCCGGTGGCCCTGAAGACAGTGAATGAGCTGGCCAGCCCACGGGAACGCATTGAGTTCCTCAAGGAAGCTTCTGTCATGAAGGCATTCAAGTGTCACCATGTGGTAAGGAAGGGCTAGGACACTGTCAGGGTCAGAATTAGGATACAGGTCATGAAGTAAGAGGGAAAGGGTCAGAGATGGACACCACCAAATTAAGGGTTGTGACTGTGGTTATGATTCTAATGGGGCAGAAGACATGGTTGGGGTCAGAGTCAAACAGGTTCACAGTAAGGCCATAATAGGTTCATGGCTAGAGCTGAGATCGGTCATGATTGGGAATCAATATTGAGTGTGCAGAGGGGCCAAGGTCATGATTGTAATGATAGGTGTGACCCAGTTTATACGCTGGGGTTGGGTCACCAATCATGATTCGTGTTGTGGTCATGGTTGGGGTTAGGATCAGGTTGGTGTGGGGGTCATACTGTGGTCATAGCAGGTCACAGTTTGAGCCAGGTAGACGGAGGGGTGATGGGTGGAACTGCAACCAAACTCTGTGTCGTCCATCCCAGGTGCGTCTCCTGGGAGTGGTGTCTCAGGGCCAACCAACTCTGGTCATCATGGAGTTAATGACCCGTGGGGACCTTAAGAGCCATCTCAGATCTTTACGGCCTGAGGCAGAGGTGGGGACCAGGAAGACCCTGGGCCAGGAGGTTGGAGAGTTTGAGAAAACTTGAGCACGCTGTGGGGGAGGGGGCTGTTCCTGGGTTGGGACAAAAATGTAGGCTTCTTCACCAACCCTTCTCTTGGCTCTAGAACAACCCTGGGCTCCCACAGCCAGCACTAGAGGACATGATGCAGATGGCCGGGGAGATCGCAGATGGTATGGCCTACCTGGCCGCCAACAAGTTTGTGCACCGAGACCTGGCAGCCCGCAACTGCATGGTGTCCCAGGACTTTACTGTCAAGATTGGGGGTACAGAGGATACTAGGCAGGCTGGGGAGGCAAAGGGTGCCAGGCAGATGAGGGCAACCTGAAGAGTAGAAACTCCCTTAGTGAGGCACAGGGGCCTAGGCCTGGCCTGCAGCTCTGCTCCTGAAACCCTGTAAGAACTATGCATGTCACCCCACCCAGATCTCAGTCCCCTTGTCCAAGACAGAGGAATTTGGATGGGGTGAGTGCTGAGGTCCTTTCAGCCCTCATCTCCCAGGATTCTTGGAGACTGTAAAGGTGGAAGGGGTGGCAGAGGCACTCCGGGGGCAGAGTCTGATGTGGGACTCCCATGTCCCCTCCACTGTCACCTTCCAGACTTTGGGATGACCCGGGACGTGTATGAGACAGACTATTACCGAAAGGGTGGGAAGGGACTGCTGCCCGTGCGCTGGATGGCCCCTGAGTCCCTCAAAGATGGAATCTTCACCACCCACTCAGATGTCTGGTAGGGCCTGGTAGAGCCAGAGGGCTCTGGGGATATGGAAGCGGCATCTAGGGAAGTGACCTGGGCCACTCCCCTTCCTGGGGATGTGCTGAATGGTCTGAGGGTGCTGGACTCAGGCCCTCCTGTATGTCTTCCAGGTCCTTTGGTGTGGTGCTCTGGGAGATTGTGACTCTGGCTGAACAACCCTACCAGGGCCTGTCCAACGAGCAAGTGCTCAAGTTTGTCATGAACGGCGGGGTCCTGGAGGAGCTAGAGGGCTGTCCCCTTCAGCTGTGCGTCACTCCAGTTCCCTTCCTTAGCCCTTCTCTGCCCCTAGCCCTCCCTATGGTTCTGGTTCACATCCTCTAAGGCTTCTGCAGCCCCCGCTGTGAGCCCTCCATAGCTGAACACATACTGTGTCCGCACTTGCTCCACTGGGGCACTCATGCCTCGGGGATCATGCCTCAGGATCCCTCCTACTGACCCTCCCAGTGCAGGAGAAGGGGGTGTAGCTTGGGCTCTGGGCCTCCTCTGATGCTGTCCTCACCCCCTATCAGGCAGGAGCTGATGAGCAGCTGCTGGCAGCAGAACCCACGCCTGCGCCCCACCTTCACTCAAATCTTGGACAGCATACAGAAGGAGCTGCGGCCCTCCTTCCGCCTCCTTTCCTTCTACTATAGTCCAGAGTGCCAGGGGGGCTGTGGCCCCCAGCCCACCACTGATGCAGAGCCCAACTCCCCTCCAACTTCGAAAGAGGTTTCAGACTGCAGCCTGCAAAATGGGGGTCCAGGGCACTGAGGGACACCCCCTTCCCCACTGCCTGGCCTCCCATGGGTATAGAGAAGGGGAACAAGCCTTCCAGCTCAGATAGGGCATGGGGTGGTTGAGAGTGGGACAGAGACCAGACGGGGGCAGCCAGCTCAGACTCTACTCCCAGGGAAGCAGGTAAGGCCCCAGAAGGAGTAGTCACAAGACCATGGACAGGCGTTTACTGCCCCTGGAGAGCCTACCCCCGGCTTTGGATCTCTTGTGCATATCTGGGGCCATCAACGTGCTTGAAAAAAGATGCGCGTTCCGAGCCAGACTAGGAGGCCTCCGTCTGGGCGCGGATCCTGGGGGAGGATGTCCACATCACCGCCTGTTCACCTTGGTCACCTCCTCCCCTCTGCCCTACATATTGCAAGATGGGAGCCTGTGCGCACCCCTTTCTCTCCCCTCGCCCCAACCAGGGACCCCATGCTTGGTGCTCCTCCTCTCTCGTCCCCTGAGGCATCCCTTGGTGCACGTTCGCCCCTTTTCCCAGGCTTCCCCTCATTATTGGCCTTGGATCATTAAGGGCTTTAAGAGCCTTGTCTTTCTGCTTCCCCTCACCCACTGCCACCTCCCCACCCTCTGCCTCTCAAGGGGAGACTGGAAAACGCACAATAAACGCCGAAGTCTCTTGGTACCCTGGTTCTGGGCAGCCCATTATCTCTCCATCTGTGTGGCGTTAAGACCAGATGAACTTCCTCTCTCCCTCCTTTGGGACTGGAGGTGGTGACCCTAAGGCGGTGATACAGGATAAATACACTGCTGTCAAACACCACATGCATGAGGACCTGAGCAGCCAGGGTTGCCATGGCAGTGAGACACCACAGTCTTGCTGTAATCTCTGCTCAGGGCCAGAAGTGGCTGAGCCCAGCAGGGAAACTTTGTATCTGGCCGGAGCCAACCGGTCACCCACATCTCATTTTTGCTTTGTCCCTTGCTGTATCTGGCCACTGGGCAGGCATTTCCTCCCATGAAATCACAGGGTAGAATATGAAGTGGGGGTGGGGTCCGTATGACATCACCTGTCCACGTCAGATCTCCTGCCACCCAGGGCAGGGACACTCTCCAGAGCAGAGTCTGTGTCTCCCTGTGGTTATTCCTATGCCAGTGGGCCTGAGTCTCAGCATGTCTCCTGAGGAGAGAGATATGTTGTCACTGGCCCAGAAAGCCAGGTTTTCTAGGCTACTATGTCAGTGCCAGGGGTCTGCAGGTGCATGTGGAGGGGTGAAGCAGAAGGGCTGGTCACGGCTCAGGGCTTTCCTTTGTGCTGGTGCTGGGGATCAAAGCTAAGGCCGTGAACATGCTACATGCACCCATGAGCTGCACCCTGACCCCCCAGGGTTCTTTAGTTTCCTGCATTCAGGTCCTCTGGGCCACAGCACCTGAGCTGCCCACCACCCACTGCCACATGTGCTGAGCACCCCTGCTTACTTCAGTAGCTGCTTTGCACACCGTAGCGCTACCAGGCAGGGCCTGAGGGGACAGGACATGAATCTGGGTGAAGCCATGGCTACCGCATATCCTGTTCCCCTAACAAGGTCAGCGTCTAGCTAGGACCACCTGTGTGGAGCGGCTCCCTCCATTCACGGCTCTTGACGGGCACGGACGACTGAAGCAACAGTGACCCCTGATGGTTGGCAGTAGAACTGCAGCTACGGGAGAAGAGCCAGGGGCGGTTGTTTCCCGGTCCCCAATCCCCCTTCTATTTGTTGCTGGTCTCTCTGAGGCCCCTGGGAGAGTGGAAGGGAGGGAACTCCTTACAGCAGCCCTGGACCTGAGATGTGCACACTCACACAGGGCACACCGGCACACCTACTCCTGCACACACCTGGAGGAGGGTGCAGCAATGGGGTCAACCCCTTCCCCTCCAGACCCCCAACCCTCCTTCCTGAGCAGTGGCTGTCAGGGAGGGTTCGTCACAGGCACGGGAAGGAGCTGCAGGAAGAAAAGATGGTTTCAGAAATACTATCTAGGCTCACCCTCCCAGGCTGAGGGACGGCAGGTGGCCCAGAAGATCTGAGTGTAATGTGGGGAAGCTCATAGACAAACTCTGTTGCCACCCATGTCCCAGAAAAGAAGATTTGCCACGATAGCAAGTGAGTTGGAGGTTGGGCATCAGAAGGGACCTCCTCATATACGGGGAAGCTGTGTAGAGGGGAGATGTGTGTTCTCACTTAGGGACAGCTGGAGGCAGACGGGAGGTGACCTGGAGGGAGAAATGGAAACCTCCCACAGAGGGGGAAGGCTAAACGCAGTGACTAAGAGGGAAAGTCCAGGAGCACCCTTCCTGGCCCCTCCTCTCTTCCAGATCCAGACAGAATTTGAACATTAATAATTCAATAACCTCCAGCTGGCTGGAGGGCGGAGGATGGAGTAGACAGATGAGCCTAAGAGAACGGTATGTCTACCATCCATCTCCTCAGAACCGTCTCTGCGGCTGGTGACAGGCCTAACCACCTAGGCGAGAGTGCTGGGGGTTATAGGTCTCATGTCCCCCTCCTGCCAAGCTTGAAAACAACTGATGTGCCTCTGCAGAGGAAAGGAGGACAGGATGGGCAAGAGGCCTGGGGACCCAGGGGATGGGGGTGGGGCTGGTCTGGAATTAGGAAAGCCAGGCATCCATGGAGGCTGGATCAAGTGGGGCATCCTCAGCCCAGCTGGGTGTAGTGGTGCACCCCTGTGATCCCAGCTGAGGCAGGAGGATCGCCATGAGTTTGAGGCCAGCCTGGCCTATATAGTGAGTTTGAGGCCAACCTGGACTACATGGAGAGACCATGTCTAAAAAAAAAAATCTGAGCATGGTGATACATGCCTGTGATCCCAGCATTTAGGAGACTGAGGCAGAAGGATTGCCTTGAGTTTGAAGTGAGACCCTGTCTCAAAAAAAACCAAAACTGTAGAGCATCCACAGCTTCAGTTCCTCTAGCTTTTGCAGCCAAAGTGGTCCCTGGCTGTCACTGCATGGGAGGAAGAACAGGGTAGAAGAACTCGAGAGAGCAGCATCCCACCTTCCTCTTGGCCAAGTCCCCACCCACCCACCAACCCATAACACTGCTCCTTCCACATCCTAGAGAGCTTGGATAGGAGGCACCAGGTCGTAAATACCCAGGAAGCCCTCTCTGGAGCAGAAACTGTGGGCCTTCCCCCAGCTTAGCTGGGGAAGTGGTAGAGGAAGTGGCTTTGAACACATTGTGGAAGCCTCGGCCTATGAGTGGTTTGCCTTCTCTAACTTTCTGTTAGAGGCTAAGGACAAGACAGATGTTGATACAGGACAACTACCCACAGCAAAGACTTCCTCTTTCCAGCCAGAGCTTCTACACACAACCCAAAAGGGATACCCTGCCTGCCCTCAGGCATGAGATGGGATTGTGGCTTCCTTCCATCCCTGGGAAGCTGCCAGATTGAACGCTGGCACCCTTTTTTGCCCACCACTGAGTGGCTTGCACCAACCCAAGTCAACCCCTGGGTATCTGCCATGAAATTGGGTCACTCAGGTCAGAACTGAGTGACCATTAGGGTAGGATCTTCCCCCTCTGAAGAGTGGAGGAAGTGACTTTAAACATGCACCATATCCAGAAAACAGGCAGCTGGGGTCTGGAGGTGGAGTTAGACCAAGGATGCTTGAAAGTGCCCAGGGCAGAGCCCATGTGAAGGACACTTAGTGAGCCTGAGTATACAGTGAGGGCAGAGGTACTTGATCAGCCTCCATATAGTCAGAGCAGAGCTGCCCGGTGAGTCTGAGTACACACTCAAGGCAGAGGTACTTGGTGAGCCTGTACTGTCAGGGCAGATGTGCTTGGTGAGTCCCCGTTCACAGAAACGGCAGAGGGGACTTAATATGCCCAAGTTCACAGTCAGGGCAGAGGGCACTAGTGATCCCGTTCACAGTGAGGGCAGAGTACTCACATGTTGCTCTGCCTATTCAGGGCAGAGTGTATTTGGGGGGCCCAGGTTCTCACTTCCATTGAATGTTACCAGAAGTAAATCTCTTCAAAGGGGCCACCGATGAAGAACCTGCCTGACCTTGCTGTTCAGGTCCACGGTGGCACGGGGCAAGCGTGCCAGGAGGGCTGGGCCCCTCAGGAGCGGGTGCCTGTGGCCCGCAAGTCTGGCCCCCCAGCTCTGAGGTACTTGTCCTCTCCTAAGCCGGAGGCCCAGCCCCGGGACGGGAACTCTGCGGACTGAGCAGTAATCCCCGCCACTCCCACCTGCCCCTCTTTGTGGCAGGAGACTGGACGTCGGGGCAGTTTGGCCCCTGACCCTGGGTGCAGCCTTCATCTTCCTCGCTGCCGCCCCGGAAGAGGAGCGGGAGGGACGGGGCACGGGGACCAAGGTCCCAGCACCGAAGGAGTCGGGGCCAGTGCTGGGCCGTGCGTTCCTTCCCTCCTCTCCCCACCCACCCAAATGCAAGCCCATTCTCCAGACGGGGAGGGAAATGGAGCTGGAGTGGGGAGGGAGACAGCGCACATGGCAGCAAGATGAGGACACCAAGGCCCACCCCAGCCCCTTTGATCTGTGTGGCTTTGGCCCCCCCAAACACCCTTCTTGTGAGCCACAGCAGTGAGACTTTGCTCAGTCATTTCTGGAGATGAAATGGGGATCCCTTGCTGAGGGAGCAGAGGGCCCACGCAGCCACCTCTCGGGTGGTGTCAAGTGTGTCCTTGCCAGTACCAGACAGGAGGGAGGTAAACACAGGCGCAAGGAGAGAGAAGGCAGAAGGAAAGGAAGCCGGAGAAGACCAGGTTGGAGGGCCAGAAGGACATCTGAGGCCGCAAAGAAGCCTCTGCAAGAAAGACAGAAAAGACAGAGGTTGACACCGGGTCACACAGGAAGTGGAGCTGGAGGAGGGGCCTCCTCTCCTCAAACCTCAGTCCCAGAGAGCCTTGACCACAGTGGAAGTAGGAGAAGGCGCAATGACTGTGGGACCAGGGTGGGAGGCCCAGGCAGGCAGGGTGGCCTCTTTGGGAACCAGAAGTTCCTCAGGGAGGAACCTCTTGCAGAAAGGACAAAAGCTGAAATAAGATAATGGTTGCCAAGTGCTTTGTAAGCTGTGGAGCACTACAGAGATTATTGTCATCGTTATCTAATTGTGAAATCATTTAAAAGATGCTGCAGCAGTACATTTGGACCCACGCATAGATGACTGTGACGAACTGCAGAGTAAGGAGTAGGCTACAAATAGTGTAAAGGATGCCGTTGTTCACGTTCCCAAACTCAGAAAAGTGTCTGGAAGCATGAATCTACATCTGGACAGGGGGACTGTGAATGATTTATGTCTTCTTTTTGCTTACCTATATTTTCTCCTTATGTTTTTTAAAGAACATACATTATTCATATAGTGAGAAACAAGAAATTTGCTTTTAAAGGAATAAACTACTGCCCAGAGGGTCGCGGTGCATGGCTCAGGATGGGAGAGGGTGCCAGCCCCTAGCCTGTGCTCTATAGAGAGCCCTTCCTGGTCCTCGTCAGGGCCCAGGAAGTGTATATTTGTAATCCCATGAAAAGTTATTGGAATTCTAATGAGTTAATTCCAATCTACTACATCCAGTGCAACCCATGGTGAGAATACACACTAAGGCATATTTGCAGTTATGGGGAGCTAAGGGGTCCTGAGTCCAGCCACGATGATGGCTATCCAGAAC